ATAAATAAATTTCTATACCGCCCTTCTCCTGAAGGACTCAGGGCGGTGTACAGCCTATTAAAAGCACAAAGACAGATATCAATTAAAAATAATTAAAATTATTAAATAATTTCGGTTCAGATTTAAAACCCCAAAAAATGTAAAACACCCAATTTAAAATCATTACATTGATAGCCTGGCCTGGCGGAACAGCAGGGTCTTGAGGGCACAGCGAAATACATGGAGGTCGGAGATCTTACGCATTTCCGGGGGCAGTTCATTCCACAGGGCAGGGGCTCCCACAGAGAAGGCCCTCCCTTGGGTGTCACCAGCTGACATAACTTGGCTGATGGCACCCTGAGGAGACCCTCTCTGTGGGAGCGGACTGGCCAGTGGGAGGCTATTTGTGGCAGAAGTTGGTCTTGATGTGTTTTGACTTATATGTCCTCTATCCACTTTTATATGATACCCTTTAATGAATTTGGTAGCTGTTCTGGGATATTTGTTGAGTAGAAAAATGGCATAGCACCACCAACAAATATATCAGTCTAAAGATATTATTATCTTAAGTGACTTTAGTTAAGCAAACATTTCTTATATTGCTTAATGGATTACAAATAAAGAAGGAACTAAGAACCAGCCCATGTAAAACAAGCTTTTCACAATTTATTTGAAGAATGTTTTTACTTCTTAAATAAAAAGTATTTAAACATTATTGGTTATTTACATTATGACTATGTAAATAACCTTTTTTATTCATAGATCAGAATAATAAATATAAACCTTCATCAGCTACCCTTTAATTTAATGGCAAAAGGAGTCATAGAGAAATATAGCAGGAAATTTATGGCACATGTTCTTTACTGTGACATTTTTATGAGTTTGACTATTTCTTAAAAAAAAAAATAATCCTGTTTATGACATATTAGGTCTTTCTGTTCCCCAAACCCTAAACAGAGAAAGAAAATAGGACATTACAAAGCCCTTCATGCCACAGTGGTAATTCAGATAAATACATTTCTTTCACCCACACATGCTAAAACAAGCCTTTTAGTTATCATTCAAGACACATGTTGTCACATGGTAACTATACCATTTGCTATTTCTATTAGCTTTTAGCAACCATATCTTTAAAAAGGGGGAACTTAGTATCCTACACTTCACACTAGGAGCCAATACTTCATTTCAGATGTTTGATGTATTTCAGAACCATTGGTTACGCTTTCCTTTTTTCCCTGAAATTCAAAGCATGTGCTTCAGTCTTATGCTTCAGGGCTCCTATCATGGACATTTTTTTTATTGCCTTTTGCAATCACTGAGATGCTTCTAAAAAAAACCCAACAAAACAAAATTAGCAGCAAAAGGCAAAATGGAAGGAAAAAAACAGAAAATGGAAGGAACCTAAATAAATCAACAAAACAGAACGAATTTGAAGGATACTCTACCAAACCATCTGAATTGTGTAGAGTAGGACTCACAAAGTCAGCCCTGCAACCTCTATCCTTTTCACCTAAAGGCCTCATTATCTAAGTTTCAGATCTTGCTGGGTTAAGTGGCAAGGATGAGAGAGAGGGGGAAGAAAGAGAGGGAGAGGGAGTGGGACGGAGGGAGGGATGGATAGATAGATGATAGATGATAGATGATAGATAGATAGATAGATAGATAGATAGGTAGGTAGGTAGGTAGGTAGGTAGGTAGGTAGGTAGGTAGGTAGGTAGGTAGATAGATCGATCACATCCTCACAAGGCTGTAGCTATAGTTCTACACTGAATATAGTTCTTAGTTCTTAAGGAATGGACTTCTTTATGCCTTACTTCATGCATTTTATAGAGCCTTGATTCTTCTGGCAACTGAGATTTGCCAATCACTCTCTCTGTACATGAATTGTAATCCCGTGACTATTTTAAAAATAAGTAAGCAGCTTTCAGAATATTTTTACCAAAACATTCTTTGTGAAGCAAAAGGTACATTAGATGGCACCAATTAGGATCAGTTTATCATTTCTAAATGTTCTCAGGCACTTAGCTGACATTTCAGAAGCTTCAAGGGATAGTACCACTGCATGCAAATGATAATGTACAATTAAGGGGAAATTATAATCTCCTACTAAATAGATATGTCTCGCTTGGCACAATATTCATATCTGTGCATGGATGAGACCAAAAGATGGTGATGTTTGAACAGCTACTGCACTCTAAATCTGCTTCAATTGATTATGATCTCTTTGCAATTGTTCATGTTGTATTATAAGGTAGCATTTATTTTAGAGGGCAATAAAGCATTCTGTTTTCATATTATTTCCAAAGTAGTTACCAGTATTCTGTTCTCAAATTAAACTATGAATAAACCATTCAAGCTGCAGACCTACACTCTTCTGTCAGTTTTAGCTGAATGGATTTGGTTTAATGGTATCACATCTTAATAAAATATTTTATGGGACCTGTGCATCTTGCACAGGTCCCATAAAATATAGGTTAATAACCCTCTAAAATACATGCTATCTTACAGTATAATACAGCATGGATACATCTCATACAAGTAGTGCTCCATTTACAAATGGTTGCATAGTGACTATTTGAAGTTACGACAGCACCCCAAAAGTACTATGAGCTAGTTCTGAAGTTAAGATGCCATCCATCCCTGCAGCCAGATGAACGGATTTTTGGATGCTCAGCAATTGATTTGCATTTATGATCATTTGAGTTACCTTGTTGTCATGTGTTTTGATTTATGACATTTTTTTCTGGAAACCAGTGTTACTTCTGGTTTCCAGAAAAAAAGTCCCATAGTGAACAATGGGTTTGCTTAACAACCATGGTGTTCATTTAGTGACTGCAGCATTTGCTTTATGATTACTGCGTTTGCAATAAAGGTCATAAAATTCAAGTCTGGTCACATGATGGTCTGCTTTTTGACCATCACAATTTACAACTGTTAATACCAGGCTCAATTACAGTTGTAGGTTGAGAACAATCTCTAGATCCGGTAGCACATTTTTTTCAAAGTAGGACTGATGTATTGACCACTGCATAATTTTTTAGAGATCACCCCAACAGAAATGGATGTTATATAAGATTATGCCATGTACAGAGTTTTTCTCACATTGCATTGTGCCCCAGCAATGCTATATCTTACTGGGTCCTCAAGACATCATGTTCCTCTGTCCCCAACTTAGAGATTTTCCTTAGCTTAGCTGTATGATTAAAGTAATATTTCCTTCTTATCTAACAAGGTTTTGTCATGAATACAATCTAACACATTTCACTGATCATTTATTGGTCATGCACAAAAGTGATTGCTAAGGACTTGGATCCTTTACTGGCTTCCTTTTCTTTCTAGTTCCTGGACATTATCTTCCAGTCCTATTGAAATCAAGCACTTTCCCAAGACCTACCAGGTCTCTTGGCAGCTCCTTGGATCTGAGACTGGAATTAGCCTCAACAGCAGCGGCATAAGTGGAAATCAGCCTCCACATTGACGTAGCAAATTTGTACTGTACGTTAAGCATTTCAAAGTGAAGACTACGATTGGTTCATGATTGAATTCTGAAAGTATAATGGGAGGTTTTCTACATCATCCTTCTGCTTGCAATCAGTTGCAAAATTCCACCAAGAAACTTTTGAGGACCTTAAATGGATCTTTCAAAGCAGTGTATGATGTGCTGTTTCGAGGGTTGTGGCTAAGAGGCTAGGCTAGTGATGGCTAACCTTTTTGCCATCACGTGCCAGGGGGGGGGGGGGGGAGGTTTGCGCGTGTGCATGCCCACACCCATAATTCTATGCGCTCTGCCCTGCACATGCGTGCACAACCCCACCTCCCCCCCCCACTCCTGGCACGCGATGGCCCGGTAGGCCCGTTTTTCTTTCTCACCTGGCTCCAGATCCCCTCTCTATGCATCTGGGGAGGGTGAAAACAGTCTTCCCCAGCCCCTCGGAGGCCCTCTGGAGGCCTGAAACGGCCTATTTCCCAACTCCTGGTTGGACAGCAACTGACTTTTTTGCTGTTCCCAGCCTCCAGAACCTCTCTAGCAGTCTCTAGAGGCTGGGGACAGCAAAAAAGTCAGTTCCTGTCCAACCAGGAGTTGGGAAATGGGCCATTTCAGGCCTCTAGGGGGTCTCTGAGGGGCTGGGGAAGGCTGTTTTCACCCTCCCCAGATACATAGAGAGGATCTGGAGACAGGTAAGAAAGAAAAACCAGCCTTCCCCACTTCCGCAGCCCCTCCGGAGGTAGGAAACAGCCTGTTTCCCTACTTCTGGTGGGCCCAGAAGACCTGAAAATCAGCTGCTTGAGCTGGCGTGCCCACTGATATGGCTACCCTGTGGCAGGTGTGCCACAGGTTCGCCATCATGGGCTAGGCAATTAAACAGAAATGCTTTCCATTCTTACCTGAGGATATTATAATACACCAAAAATAGTTAAATATGAAACTCTTCTGCACCAATTTTTGCTGCAGAGTTTATTCAGTTAACTAAAAGATGGGGTGTATTTAAAGATATGTACTCGTATCCAGAGTCACAAGTTTTTATACATAATAAGGTGTCTTTATGAACCTCACTTGGAAAAAACTTCAGTATCAATGAAAGTACAAATTTATAACTGTATTTTTATAGAATTTTTGTTTTTGATCTAAACAACTTCATCCATGTTCACTTAACCTATTTACTGAATTAATCTATATACTGGATTTGGTCAATACATTGAATATTGAAATAAATGGCTTGAGTTCTCATAACACATTAAACCCATCACATACACTGCTAATTAAGTGTTAAAGCTAAGTTTAGTATGTCGTGCCAAAGCAGAGATTGCATTTATTTATTATTTTTCAACTGCATTCTGTGAACATTGCCAATATGTTTGCATTATGATAGTTATCTTCATCGTTTAACACCTTTTCAAATGTGTTAGTGAATTCAGACTCAGAAGAAATGTTATTATGGAGCTGTAATGGGTAGTAGAGTTCAAGCTTTTGAACAGATTCAAGTTTCCTACTAAATTTTTACTGAATCTCAATTCTGTCATTCCTTTGAACTATTCATTTTTATTCTTTTATTAACTTTCCATTTAAAACAGTTTCACGTATCATTTATATATCCATTCACGTCATCCACTTTTCATTATTATAGTGCAATTATTTCCAAAAGTTCTTCCATTAGTGTTTTGAATCTCCAGAGATTCTTGGCTGAATAAAACTGGTTCTCCAGAATCATTTTTTTCATGACTTCCATACAATATTTCTGTAATCTTTCAAAAGCCTATAGAATGAAAGTAGTAAGAATTTGTCAGTTCTGAGTATGAATTATCTATTCAAACTATTTCATTGATAGAATCTTTTTGCTTTTCTATTCCTTTTAACTTAAATAAAAGTTCTAAAATTAATTCTATAACTGTATCATTTTGCTGCTGCATTTTGTTCCTTGAATCTATTTTCCCTTTTTTTTAATATTATGGAAATACATCCTATTGAATAAAACATTAAAAAAACATATTGGAAGCTATATAAGATTCTTCTTATGCAAAGTGTTACTAGCTATCACAGTGAATAATAAATACATTTTGCACAATAAAGTCATTTTGCACAATGAATAAAACACTGCACAAAAATATTGTGATAAAAAGTTGAACACCCAATCATCATAAGAGTACTTCTATACATGAAAAGGCAAATATACTCAGATATAATATTCTTCAGGAAAAAAATAAACCATGAGGAAAATATGTATTATATAGGCACATTCTGATTGAAATTTGGTAGGTGGGAATTGGTTACTGTGGTTTTAGCATCACATTGCCATTGTATGCATTACTGCCTCAATTCTATGAGGTGATTCTGTGTTCTGTATTAGATCCAGGTTCAAGTACACCCTTAGCCACAGAAGCTCACTGGGCAACACAATTAAGATACAATTGATTCTCATTATTTGCAGATTCTATGTTTGCGAATTCATTTACTCACTAACAGTTCGGCAGTTCGAGTCTCACCAATTCAACATTGATTCAGACTTCCATCCTTCAGAGGACTCGGATTGTTGGGGGCAATATGCTGACTCTGTAAACCGCTTAGAGGGGGCTATAAAGCACTGTGAAGTGGTATATAAGCCTAAATGCTATTGCTATTGCTATTAATTCCTATGAAATATTTCACACAGATAGTTAAGTAAATGATTTGTCAGGTTAAATCATTTTAGTTTAAAGTGCCTCAGCTATTTTTGGCCAGATTGTGATTACTTTATGAAGAAGGCATTCTATGGTTTCTTTAACATATCAGATTTTCAACTATATCATATCATTTATTTTAAAATGTATACATTTTGGAATGAGACTTTTTGCAATTACTTTCCATTTGGGCCCATTTAGAGAACAAATATGGCCAAGTTTTAGGTCTGAGTGTACCAGATCTTTATTTTCTGCTTTGAAAGGGGATAAAGATGTTTGATTATTAGTGGGTAAGTGGTTATATTTTGATCCCAAATCATTTGAGAAGTTGATGTTATGGAATAATTCAAGTTGAAATGCAGCAGAAAAGAAGTTCTGTTGAAATGCTTGGGCTAAATAAGGGATTAATACTTTAAAACACTGAATACTTTAAAGTCTGAAGATTATGGCTGGGGAATTCTGCAAGTTGAAATTCACATATTTTCAAGTTGCTGAAGCTGAGAAACGCTTGGGTTTGACTTACCTTTAATATACATTAGGCAATATATAACAACTGAAATATGTACAGTAAAAATGAAACACGGTGTCCCAAATGCTTTGGCAGTTCCATGGCACCTCCAATTTGAACTTCTTTAAAAGATGCTGTGCTAGAATTGAATACCTTTGATCTATGGAAGGAGAAAGTGGAATATTTAGTTTGGAAAATGAATATAAAATATATATATAAAAAATACACCTTCTATGATTTAAACATGAAATCAGTTCGTTATAAAATATGTCCATTGGATATTAATGCCTATAAAAGAAATTGACATTATATTTTTTTTATTTTGACAATATAAGAAATGTGGGGTTTTTTAACTAACATAATTTATTCTTGCTCTGCTATAGCTTTGCATTGATTTGACAGCATGTTAATATAACTTTGGAAGAAATATTATATTTAGGGCCCGCTATTTGATGCTGAATTATATTCCTAAAGCATGTATTATGCTATAACTTTATCATCCTATGTATAACTGGCACTACTGAGCCTGGGCTATAGCAAAAGGGACAAAGAAAGAACCCCCTCTCCTGATTTTAAGATATAGATCCCAAATATGAATTTATTACCTATTTTTGAGAACTCAGGGGTGAAATTCAGCAGGTTCTGGAGAACTGGTAGTGGAAATTTTGAATAGTTCGGAGAACCAGCAAATTCCACCTCTGGCTGGCCCCAGAGTGGGGTGAGAATGGAGATTTTGCAATATCCTTCCCCTGGAGTGGGATGGGAATGGAGATTTTGCAGTATCGTTCCCCTGCCATGCCCACCAAGCCACACCACGCTCACCAAGCCACGCCCACAGAACCGGTAGTAAAAAAAATTGAACTTCAAACACTGTGAGAACTCCTTACATTCTAAAAATGAACAAATAGCACAGTACATTATTAGCTTAGATTTAAAGATAAACTAAATATATTTATATTTAGTATTCTTTATATTTAAGGTTTTATGTATATGGGTGTTAGTTGATTTTTTTTCTTCACTATATAGCTACCAACCCCCAAACCTCAGAAGTTCATGAAGTGACTTTGGGCTACTCATCTTTCTCACCCCAACCTATCACACAGGTTGTTGTTGTTGTTGTGGAAAAACATGGAAGATGACAATATTATGTCTTGAACTCCTGAACAAAAGGAAGGATGTAATGTGAGAACAAATAACGTTTCTTTTGGAAGGTATATATGCCTTGAAAAAATAAGGAACCTTAATATATTAGCTGCACAGCTACATGAGAATATTTTAATCTAGTGTTGTACTTCTATGCTGTCCAAATCCAATTCACACATTTATCAATGAGGCATATGCAGAAAGCTCCAAGCTTAGCCTGAGATCTTAGTCTACCACCTGTATTTTTTTTTATTAAAAAAAAGCACTAATGTCTTTCCCACCCCACCCCACCCCCCAAGTATTGACTGCTAATGCACATCTGGGAATTCAAAAAGTGTGTTTTTTCAGATGTTAGATATTAAGTGAAGGTCAGTCAGTTAATAGCAGGCTCTACTTTTCTTCCTTATTTAACTGCATTATCTAAAGGCTTTTAGAATCTATGCAGAATACAAAAAAATGAGCATTGTTGTGTCATATGACTTCAGCATTAAACTTACAGCTCCTTCCATTTCCAGTTAAATTTTGCTGCCATTCAATCTTCCAACTCAGTCTGGGGAGCCCTTCTTGTTGATGGCCGGAGCTTAGTTGTGGTTGAGTTCTGGGGGGGGGCTCTTCAGTGAAGTAACAACATTGCCAACATTGCTGCCTAACAGATCAATTTGTTGTGTAGGTATAAAGGCATATGCTTTATCTACCTCAGATAGACCAGACTAGAAAATGATCCCCACAGGAAGATCAAACCCATGTTCTCTTGAGCTTGTGATAACAGAATTTTGCAGGTGTGATAGTGCCTCACTTCCATTCCTTCTCATACTCTGGTGAATCCGGCATTTAAATAATGTTTCAGACCCTTTGCTTAGAAAACAGTTATTGCCAATTTCTGTCAAAATCACCTCTGTTACTCTCTACAAATATGAAGGTATCTGATTACTGAAGTATATATCTGGGGAGCTATCAGCCAGGTATCATCAGTTGAAAATAGGACATGAATTTTGTTATAAAGATCTTCTTAAACATTCAAATAAAATACATTTCTGTGACTGATCAGACTTATGCTAGTTCTTGAAAAGATTTGTGAAGAGATGCCCAGGTTTTCACTTACAAGATGATTAAAGAATATAGAATTCAAGAGGACAGACTTTGGGACATTTTGAAGTTAGAGAACTGCTCTAACTTCAAGAACTGCTAACTTCAAGAACTGCTCTATTCTTGAAGTTGAGTTTCATGACCTGGTGCCCTTCATACTTATTGAACTAAAACCCTGCATGGCAAAATTACTTAGCTTCCATGCTAGCAGAACATATTGCAGCAACCATATTGTCTCCCTTCCATTCCTTCCTTCTTCTAACTTCTTTTCTAACAGCCTTTTAGGCTGATTATTTTATTTGCACCTTGTCCCTCTAACCTTTCTTCTGGTAAATACTAATAATATGCTGTGCCAATGTTAAATACTGTTATGGTTCATTCAGTGCATTTGAAGTTAGTTAAACAGAGGTTTAATTCCTCATGTAGGTGATATAAAAACACTTAACTGTCACTATATTATACCAATTCAGTACCAAAAACATGATCTGGGCTCAAGTACTTTTACTCATTTGCATTTTTACTGTCAGATGTATCTCAGAAGCTCTGTATGCTTAAATATTATTTAACATGTGATTGTATAGATGTGAATGCAATATAGATAACCATCCTATGTGCTGGCATTAAAATATTCATTAGTTGAGCTCAACAATAATGTTTATTTATAGCCTTATCTCAAAAGATTTGCAAAGCTCACAGTATCACAATAGGGCCCACACCATGTTATTATTGCTGCTCAGAATATATAATTTATCTTGCTTAGCTTCTTTGCATATATCCTATTTTAGGCTAAAAGACTCTTAATGGCTTCTAGATACTTCAGCTTCTGTTCCAGCAAATGACTTTGGAATTGAGAATGTAATAAATCATTTTGATTGACAGGTCTGACATTTCACTGAGGTGCATCTCCAGCAAGTGGCTGTGGGGCTGCAGATTATTATTATTTTTTGGTACAGACTAGAAAACTGTCAGAAAATATGTTTTCTATCCCTTCAAACAAAACACCAGACCATGTTTCATCCAAACAAGCCCCTTCAAGTTACTTCAGAAGTGTAGTCAGAAGGCTTGACATATGGGAAAACGTTACACAGAGAATTGGTTTTGAAAGACTGTCAACACTTTATATTTCCCATATGAAAAAACAAAAGTAATAAGATATCCTAAAGTCTAATGTAGACATTTAACAGAAGTTAGGATGAAGGTATTTAGAAGATTCAGATTACAAAATTACAAGATTCTGAGAAATATTCAGGTAAATAATATAAATTAGAAAAAAGTAAATATATTTAAATGACCAAAAATATCAAAATATCACACAACACCTCTTTGTGCACACTTGAATTCTCATGAGATGTTGGCATGTTTCTGCCAAATTTTCAAGATTTCATGTGGGGAAACCAAAATGATGATATAGTGGTCTAAAAATAATGAATAGTTTGGAAGATATTGGTGTACATCATAAGACTCAAGTGTGCCAAATTCATCTTTTTAAAAAATATATTTAAAAGTCTAGTTACCCATTCAAAACTAGATTTTCTTGTGTCTTGGGTGTTGTGGAGATGATAGAACCCACAAGCTCTAAAAGATATAGATTCATAAAAGAAAGGCAGTTTGAGGGGAACTCCTCTTTCTTCTATCACAATTTCCTTTTTTCAACTAAACGTCTGTTTAGATACCTGCTAAAGTGAAAAGGGGACTATATGGTTTTATTTTCTCATATTTAATTTCTCATTTCTTTGGTATATTATATAGGTAAGTGATACATTGGTTAAAGGTGAAAAGAAACATGTTATGTCTTCAAGAGGTCTGCCCAAGGTGTCTCAATTTTCTCCCCAACTTTGGTTACCTCCCAAATAGATTATCGCAATGAGCTCTAATGGGACTGCCCTTAAAAGAACATATAGCTCCATGATGGCAAACCTATGGAACATGTGCCAGAGATGGCACAGAGCAGCCTCTCTGTGAGCACGCAAGCCATGGCCCCAGTTCAGCTCCGCCGCGCATGCATGCATGCTTCCTGCTAGCCAACTGGCCTTCGGATCTCTGCCATGCATGCATGGGAGGTGGGGGTGTCCAGGGAGGCACGTGCACATGCGTGGGGGGCAGGGGGCATGCAGGGTGCACATGTGTGGGGGTCAGGATGCACACATGGGGCCGCATGTGCATGCGGGGGGGCATGCGGGGGGCACACACATTGCATTTGGACGCTTTGGGCACTCAGTCCGGAACAGGTTAGCCATCACTCATCTAGCTTCAATTGATCTAGAATGCAGCTGTGCAGACAATTATGGGTATGTCATTTTACACTTTTCTTCCAGAAGCTTCACAGGCTTCCAATTTGCTTCCAGGTGCAAATCAGATCACTGATTATTATCTATAAAACTCTACTGGCATAGGGTCGGAGTACTTGAGAACAATCTTACTCCATTGTTTCTACCCATCCCATTAGGTCAGCAGTATAAATATGCTCTGGGTACCATTAGAGATTGTCATTTAGGAAGATACAGGAAGTGTGCCTTTTCTGTAGCTGTACCTGCCCTCTGGGACACCATACTGTCTGAGGTTAGGTTGCCACTGATTCTCTCACCTTTCAAAAATCCTTGAAATCTTGGCTGTTTTTTCCAGCATGGGAATTGGCAGAGTAATTTTATTTATACATTTTGTATACCAGGTATTCAATAGCTACTTTGTGCTTCAGTTGATTTTGAAATCTATTGTATTTATATTACATTTTTATTTTTTTATCAGCCACCCAATTACGCATTAGTGAGATGGGTGGCCATATAAATCAATTTAAATTTAAATAAATTATACCTTAATTTCCCAGCTGCCATTGAGTAGCAATTATGAGCAATAGAAGTATCCATCTATCAAAAATAATGTTGAAATGCAGAGGAAGGGTGCATGCAAGACTAAGTAAAATTCCAAGAGGAGGTTTTCTTCCTGTTAATGGTTTACCTGTGTGATTGAATTGCCAAGCAAAACCAGGTTTAATTTGCAGCATCCATTTTATATTGATTCTCAACTTACCTGGTTGTTTTTCTTAAGCAGCAAATTTGTGCACAATAAAATTAACTTTAAAGTAGAAACACTAGAGGATCTTGAAATAAAAGATATTAATCACTGAGTCTGAAAGAAAATATGACCCTTTATTGGAAGGATCAGTCCTATCAAGCAGATATAAAGCAAGTGGTTGTCCAACCAACTTGCTTTATATTTAGATTTGCCCCAGATTTAGAAATTCATTTTATTGTATTATTTTCATAATGGTTGATTCGGGTTGCTGCCAGCGTCCTAGGTATCAACCAAGTATCTTCTTAAAATATATGATGTTCTGAGTAGCACAGTTTTTTGCAGTTCCACTGGTGTTATTCCATTTTGTGCTCCCATGACTTTTCGGATACAGGTATGTCATATTTTTTACATAATGACCAGTGGACTAATTTAGCAACTCAATCATGTCTAGCTTTGTAATCAGTTTGCGTGATTTTGCTGCACTCACATATTAAGTGTGAAACAGTTTCAACGTTGTCGTTGCAAAGTCAGCAGTTTGGATTGTCAGTGGATTTTTGTATCTTTGCTTTCATGGTATTAATTTATAGTGCTTGTTCTTGAGCAGCAAGTATTAAACCTTCTGTTCCTTTCTTAATGGTTCCTCTCTTAAGCCATGACCATGTCAAGTTGTTATCACACTTTCCTTCAATGTTTTTCTTCTTCATTATCATTATCATCATCATCATTATCATCATCATCATCATCATTATTATTATTATTATTATTATTATTATTATTATTATTATATTGTGAATCATCTAGTCATTTGGAGTTGGGCAGTGCCTAACTCGAATGAATAAAATAAAATTATATTAATTGGCCATTTTGGCATACCACATTTAGTCAGTTTAAAAAGCTGTGGCTAAATTGGGAAGTACTGTTTCAACACACAAGAAATATCCTAATGCATGTAACTATTTTACTCTCTTACTAGTCATGGGATTTGAGTCATTCAGATAAAGGCAGGTCAATCTTCAAGACAAAAGGTATACCAGCACATAAGCAAACACGCAGCCAGGATGAAGGGTGTGGAATTTCTATGGAAAGATAAGTTACCGTTTCAACTAAGTCATTCTTTGCATTTTCAAGGCCACATTTGATAGCGTATCATAGAATCTAAAGTCTGAATCCTTTTAATTAAATGGAGATATTTTCAGTAAGAATACCCTTGTTTTCACAGCAAAGTTGTTTCTGAAGGAAAATAATGGTACTTCTCTTCTTGTTCCCTCCTGACTCAAAAGGTATGCCTGAAACTTGTCCTTTGCAAGAACAATCAAAGATAACCTATGTGCAATTGATTACAGACATTGTACACTTTAATTACTTGTTTCTACAAAGTTGCCCTATTCCAAACTGAAAGTAGATCTCTCTGAATTCATGCTAAGCTTCTGTGCTTTCTCTGCTTACATGGATAAATAAAAGAGCCATTAGTAAAGTGCCACATCCATAGAACAATTCTAGCATTGACAGAACCAGATTTTCTCTCTGTGGCCATCAAGTATGTCAGCAGAAGCAATGGGATGCTTTGGTTCTGATTTTGCTGTTCTGATTTTTGTTTTTAATGTACAAAAGGTAACAAGAGAAAGAGACAATTGTGTCCTAAACAAATGAGAGCTGGTTACATAGAAAAGTTATTTGCTTACTAGAAGGAATAGACTTAGAGGTCGCTGATTGCTTTCATTAGCTGCTTTCTATTCCAAATGCATTTTTGAAGGTTCATTTCCTCCATATAAGCATCCTTTTCAGTGTACAGAGAAGAATAAGATCAAAATTCTTCAGAAAGTTGGCAAGATACGTTTCCTTGGAAAACTCTTCTGTTCTGATAAAATGTCAAAGTCTGCTTAAAATTCAACAACTGCTGTGTTGACAAAGGAAATTTTGAAACTTTTGATATCTAACTTTTATTTTGGATTTGGCCACAAACCAAATTAGATGGTCTCTGAATTAAACACAAAATTATAAACTGAGTTAAATCCTGGGGTCAGTGTTTACCTTAAATATTTCCCTAAAAATGTCATAATTGTCCTGCATGAGACTTTGTAATAAATGTGATGCACATGGCTAAGAATTCTTTTAGAAACATTTCCCTCTTGGATCAAATGTAATTGCTGTACATATATTCTTGATTACAGAATATTTCCTTAAGCAGGAACTTCATTTCATATTCCATTTTCATAAAGCATATGGACAACCAACAACTTCACAATATGGATTATCGTTTCCGAATAGTTTTGCAGTTGTGTCAGAAGAGTAATTTTTCTGGCTATATTTGGTTGCCATTATACAGCCTAATAAGGTAGAACACTGTCTTACAAAACAAAAGTACTTACTTCTAAAAAGGGACTTGATCAGAAGTGTCCAGAGCAGTGCTTTATAACCTCAGCAACTTGAAGTTGTATAGAACTTCAGCTCCCAGACTTCCCCGTGCTACCTTGGGAATTCTGGGAATAGATTTTCAATACATCATAAACAGGGGTGGGTTCTAAATTTTTTTACTACCGGTTCTGTGGGCGTGGCTTATTTTGTGGGTGTAGCTTGGAGGTCATGTGACTAGGTAGGCGTGGCTAGCTGGTCAGAGTCATTTCTGGAAGGTCCTCGCACTTACGACCAGTCCTCGCACTTACGACCCGACTCATTTGTTTGCTTTTAACACTGATCAGCTGTAGGACGGCCCTTTGAAGCCCCACGGCAAGAGTTTAAAGAGTTTTTTTCCCTGTAGTCATCAGCTGGGACTCAGGAGGCAGCAATAGATTGGGGATGGGACCAAATAAAAGGTAAGAATAATGTGGGTGGGTGGGGGGGTGGGAGGGAGGGGGAGAGAACCGGTTTGGTGATGTCATATTGTCACCGCTACCGGCTCGCCCGAACCGGACCGAACCGGGAGGAACCCACCACTGATCATAAAATTGCTGATATTGAGAAATACAATTTTAGAGAATTCTTTTTTTTAATCACTGGGCAGAACAGGTTTATTTATTCCAAGGTTCATCCCTAAAACTGATGATACAGGATCCCTTTCTCTTTACATTTGGAGAACAGGACATGCATGCATATGCATGGAGAGGCTCAAAAAAGAAACAAAAACATCGTATGGGTAATGAAGGAATATAACAATTCATTCCATTGGGGATGCATGTAAGGTCTTCTGTAACATCAGAAAAAAAGAAGAGAATTGTTTGAGAATCTGCCTTTTTGTTCTTCATCATTTTTGAAGCCTCTGTTTTTAAGGTCCTTAATCCTAAAGACACATTCTTTTCATAAAAATTGTGAGTCATTCTGACTGTAATTTAATTTTGATACTTCTCTTTTGCTCTCATTATTCTTAAAAGACCTAGCTTTTACTAAGTGGTTCAGTTATTTTTTTCTCAGATCTGTATCTTTCTTCCAAGGAAACTAGACTGATAAAGAATTTAATCTTGGATGAATTCAACAACCATGAATTATACCACAACAGCTATTTAAATTTGAACCAGTACTAGGGGTGAAATCCAGCAGGTTCTGACAGGTTCTGCGAACTGGTAGAAATTTTGAGCAGTTCAGAGAACCGGCAAATACCACCTCTGGCTGGCCCCAGAGTGGGGTGGAAATGGAGATTTTGCAATATCCTTCCCCTAGAAGTAGGGAGGGAATGGGGATTTTGCAGTATTCTACCCTGGAGTGGGATGGGACTGGAGATTTTGTAGCATCCTTCCCCTGGAGTGGGGTGGGAATAGAGATTATGCAGTATCCTTTCCCTGCCATACCCATCAAGTCACGTCCACCAAGCCACACCACGCCCACCAAGCCACACCCACAGAACCGGTAGTTTAAAAAATTGGATTTCATCACTGAGCAGTACTGCATTTGGAAGGCAGAAGTATGATACCCAATAAATGTTAAATCATGTATTATTTGTAAATATTATAATATTTACAAAATATTACAATAATAGTTGTAACAAATGTATTGTTTATCTTTTTCCTTTGGGGGCTCAAAGCAGCATAGATAGAAGTTTCTCCTCTAGCTCCCTGCAAGGTAGATTGGGTTGACAGAGATTAGTAGTAATGTGAAATACTAAGGAAGTCATTGTTTCTTACTTATTTAAATAAAGGAGTAGATATTATTACATTCTTAACTTCATTGTAGTGGTTTCTACAAGGGTGGTAGGGTGATGTCAGGCTGAAAAAAGCAGTGTTACAGTATTGCACCACAAAAACTGCTTCTTTGGGATGTGCGTTTAATATCCTGATACCTCCAGAAAAGGGATGGGACTTGTGTTGCAATGCCACAGTAGTCTGATTCCCACATGGCCCTCCATTATGAACTCTGCCATTTCATTAATGATAACCTGTATTAATTATATAGTGTCACTTAGATATTTTTATGGGGGGAAACTCTATACCTGAATGCAATCTTCTCAGTCAGTGTTTTCTTTCCCCCTTCAATAAAGCAAATTGCATTTTATATATTCTTGGGCTATTTTTTGTAGTCATGCTGACTGAGAATGATGGGAATTGTAATCAAGTGTAACTTAAAGGCAGAAGATTGCACCAATCAGAAACCAGCCGTGACCAATCTGCACCAATCAGAAACCAGCTCAGCTAAGGACCAATTGGAAGTCAGATCACCTGGCTACAAAGACAGGAGCCCAGCAAGACCCTCCTCAATTGTATGTGGTCTGTGCAGCAGAGCCCCTTGCCTCTGAAGAGGCCAGCCACTTTTGCTAGCAAAATGTCTGGACATCTATTAGGTAGACCATGATCACAAAACCCTGAAGCTCAATGCCGCTCAATATTCTGAAATCAATTTTGGAGAAAAATACTTTGTGGAGGAAATGCTGATGTGGTACTAGCTAAAGATATTTCTTCCAAAGTAAATTAGATATTTATTATGTTACCAGTCTGCTTCACTCATCTAATGTTATAGAAAGGAATGCTTTCCCCCATTCATTTTTACACTTTTTCTCATGCCACACAAATCTGTTAAGAGAAAGAGAATAGCTCCATAATATATTTTGACTTCAGGCACTTCAAACTACCTTCTGGAATTACCCATAGTCAAAATGGAAGTTTCAGGCTGCCTTGTCTCTGTCTAACATTATTAGGCTAAATAGGATATATATCCTCTTTTGTTTTAAATTGTGCATGATTTATTAATACTTTTCCAGCTCTTCAATTCACACCTGCAGAACTTTGGAAAGATTTTGGTATAAGGTTTCATGGGGTGGCTTAAAAGAGAAGATTAAGGCTCTGATCCCAGAGGAGAGATTGTCTTTCCTTGTTAAAGAAACAAAGTTTAGAAGCAGAACAAGGTTTCAGAGGAGGAGCTGAAATATATATATTCTAGCCATGCTACATGCTGCATTCATTGTTCCTCTTCCATAGAGTGAGCTACTTTATGCAGTTATCCCACTGACTGCACATTAAACTGAAGGTCCTCAATTCCACAAGGGTCATCTGTTATCCTGGAACAATGAAGAATTCTGCATTTAAAAGATGAGGATCACTTTTGGATACTCTTAATGCAAAAGAGATTTTCCTTTAAATAACTTTTACCAAGTAGCAGTGCTTGCTGTAATAAGTTGTAGCTATGCTGTGAATATAGAGAAAGAAGTAACTAAACATGTGCTATGATATTAGGGTGGAAACCTCATGACTTTGGTCCTTGTGTCTGACATTGGGACATAAGGGCTGGGGTTTGCATTATCATATTTGTTTAATCATTATGTAAAGGACCTAGACTGAAAGTAAACTCCTACCTAAATGGAATGTCAATGTACTGTACAATACTATCCCCTGTGTGAGTCACAGGATGTTTATAAGGCACCATATACCGGTCCCTTTTTGACCAAACAATTTTAGTTCACTAGATCTGCTAGTTGACTGATGGAGCTTGGTAAAGGACATGGCAACAGTCAGTCTCCACTGAAGATGAAAAGCATGGAAGAAAGGTGCCACTAATGCAACCATTCCCCCTGGCATGGTGGCACAATCAGAGAAAGGCTTGTTTCCAACAATTCTCAGATTTTTGTTTTGTTTTGCTTTTTGTCTGTTGTGTCATGCCACTACAGCAATGGGGTTAAGTATTGGGATGTCTCCAGTTGCAAATGCAGTTTCTCCATTGTGGGTGGAGACAGCAGCCAGGATGGGTGTGGTCATCTGTTAGGCCGATAGACTGAGCCCATCAAATTTGCTAAGTCCCGCCCTTGTTACCGGGCAAACCCAGCTTTTGGCTCAGTCTGTCAGCCTAGACAGGCGTGTGGGACTGATCCTCTTGATCCTTTCTACCTTTCCTGGCTGCTTCTCGCCTATCTGACATAAAACATTTTTCCTTTGCTCTCTTGGTTTGACTCGGATCGTGACTTGGACTTCTTTGGATTTCGATTGCAACACTTCAGTAAGCAGGGAAGTAGGTCGTTTCTCCCATTCCCCAGTAGCTGGCTTTGCCGGTTGCTTAGGGGGGGGGAGGGAATTCCCTTTCCTTTTGGTTTGATTAGGGGAATCCCTTGAGCCTTTGTGGAGTGTCCGCGCTCCCTTTATACCCCCGCCTGACCGTTTCGGGTCCCCAGAGTATTTTTAGCCGTCTGTGGAGCTTCGCGCCCCCTTCTGAATCTCCCGGTGGCCATTTTGGATTTCAAAGTGCCCCGTTTTTTTCTGTTTGCCGTTTGCATTGGATTACAGTGTTGTTGTGTGCTGGTGGAGTTCAACGCTCCCAATGGCATCGAGGGAAGCAGCTAGCTCTTCCCTTCGACCACCGACTCCCTTAATAACTGAGCGTGCCTTGGGGCGCCATTTCGCTGCGCTAAACAGCTGGTGGGGCCATCGGCTTTGGCGCCATTCCTCCTGAGTCGCTTGTGCGGCGGAGGCTTTTTCAGGCGCGAAAATTCAATCAGGCATTCATCGAAGCTGCGCTCCGTTCAGTAACAGCGCCCTTGTCATCAATTTAAATTATTGGCCTAGCCCTTTGTTGTGGTAACTTTTCTGGCGGAGCTTCGCGCCCCCCACCCCCCCTCCTGGGTGGACAGTGATTGCCTGCTGAACGTGCACTCTGAAGTGGGGCTTCGCGCCCCTCCCTCCCGCCCTTGTCTCCTTTTACGGGCTGTTGCTGGTGCCCCCTGCGCGCCCTAGTGTCAATCAGGGCATTCTTCGCCATTGCAGGTGGAGTTCTTTCTGCGCTCCCAAGAGTTACATTCTGGGGCTAATCCACTGTGTGTGACACCTACTCGCTGTCATCATGCCTAAAGCTTCTCACAAATCCAAACATGGCCGCAAGGCGGGGAGTTCCGATTCTCATCATCATCATCGTGGGGACACCCCTACTACTAAGGGCGTCTCCTCTGGAACTTCTTCCAGGCTGGATCCTTCTGACCCTCCTCGACCTCGCAGCAAGGCGGTTACTCATCTTCTTCCTTCCCGGGCGGAAGCTCGCAGGGACAAAGTTCTACAAAAGATCTGCGCCAAGGCCAGCAGTGTTCA